CATGGCTGTAAGTCAAAGGACTCCTTGCAGTAGAGGACTTGGAGACAATGGTTCTCCAAGATTTCAGAGAAGAATGTGGTTATTACAGGGAATCCTCGACTTATGACCACGGAAGATAGTTGTTTCCCAAGATATCAGAAAAGAAAGTATTTATAGTGGGTAGCCCTTGAGTTATGACCATTGGAAGACAGATGTTCTCCAAGTTTTCAGAGAAGAATGTGTTTATTATAGGGAGTCCTTGACTTATGGCCATGGAAGATAGTGGTTCCCCAAGATTTCAGAGGAGGATGTGCTGGAGAATCTTGGCAAACCACTATCTCCCATGATGTAAGTTGAAGGACTCTTTGCAATAGACTCCTTGACTTACAACTACGGGAGACAGTTGTTCTCCAAGATTTCAGAGAAGAACATGTTTATTATAGGGTAGTCCTTGACTTACATCCATGGGAGATAGTGGTTCTCCAAGATTCTCCAGCACATCCTCCTCTGAAATCTTAGGGAACCACTGTCTTCCATGGCCATAAGTCCGGGACTCTCTGTAATAAACATATTCTCCTCTGAAATCTTGGAGAACAACTGTCTTCCATGGTCGTAAGTTGAGGATTCCTGGGGTCATAAGTTGAGGAGCACATTCTTCTTTGAAATCTTGGAGAACCACTAAATTTCAGAGGAGAATGTGTTTATTATAGAGTCTCCTTGACTTACCACCAACATTGGGATCAGTGTTTGCTAAAAGGTAAACCTGAATGAATATGGTTTTATGCCTGCATATTTTTTTTAAAAAAAGAAAAATCCAAGCCAATAGAAATAACTGACCCAAATCCGTGTGGTTGCTCATCCAACCGATCGATTTGAGGGAAACCAACTCCAAGAGTCCTGAGCCCACGAAAGACCCAATTCCAGAAAAAAAGAAGAAGAGGCCCATAATTGCACTTTGCATCGATTTTGGAGCCGCAGAGTAGGCGAATTCCAAACCTGGAACACAAAGAGAAGACACAGACAGACACACCATGGTTAATTCACAAGCTAACTTGACAAGTCAAGTTTGTTGCTGTTTCTGTGCCTCAAATCTCCCACTGCTTTATTTCATTGGGAGTTGTAGTGCTAGGCGTAAAACCTAAGTCGCTCTCCGGACGGTGGTGAAGCAATGGATTTTTGGACATTTAAAATTTATTTGCCTTTTAATTCACTTGTCCTGGAGATTTTATACTCTTATGGTGTTCTCGCCATTGAACAAGGACGTTTTTTGCTTTTGCGCTTGGAAATTCAAAAATGTGGCAGCCTCTGATGTCAAAAATGAAAGCGCCAGGCCGAAATCACTGGGCAAGTTTTGCCAATTTATTTTCCAAAGCGCCAGAGGACCAGAAGCAACGGATGGAAACTAATCAGAGAGAAGAAACCTGGAATTGAGGAGAAACTTTCTGACAGGGAAGACGATTAACCAGTGCAATAGAACTTGCCTCCAGAAATCGTGGGTTCTTCATCACTAGAGGTTTTTAAGAAGAGACTGGACAGTCGTTTGTCTGAAATGGTACTGTAGGTTCTCCTGCTTGAGCAGGGGCTGGATTGGAAGACCTCCAAGGTCCCTTGCAACTCAATTCTATTTTGTCTGTTCTGTTCTTCTCTGCTTCTTCCTTTCTCCTTCTCCTCATTCTGTTCTGTTCTGTTCAATTC